ATGAACATCCTTGAACACAAGAGGCAGCTGCAGGAACCCATGTGACCCCCTGCTGTCATTATAGAGACCCCACCCAGTTCCTGCTTCCATGAGGGACTTACTAGACTCCAGGCTGATAGTATGGAGAGCAAGAAGTTCCCTTGCCATCCAGAAGGCACTAAAGGGGGTTAGGAGAAGAGAGACATATCTCCTTGTTCTTAGGATAAAAGGGGACTGGAATGGGTCATTATACCTGAAAAGATTGGGAACCACTGCCCTATACTTTGCTCTCTCCTTTAATGTTCCTAATCCAAAGAAGTAAATACCTACCTATGGCAGTTGGTAAGTGGAGAGGTATTTGCTGGGCAGGGGCACCTTCCTCAATCCTCAGAATTGCTCAGTAGTAGCTCTTCTGCCTAGCATCCTCCTCCCTTCTACAGAGGGAAACACATGGACTCTTGCTGCTGCTGATTATTTGTGAGAGGATTGATTGTTTTCTAGACGCTAGGGATGTCTGAGGGAGATGTATAGCCCAGCTTCAGCTCAGTATGTAAAAAGAGCTAGCAACTAGATTCGCTCAAAGATTTAACAGGGCCACTCCATAACGTCATAAAACTCCGAACTGGATATGTTCGAGTAGAGAAAAGACAACCAGTTGCCCAGGAAGTCAAAGAACATTTATGCTTCAGGTTGGGTTGGACCTCTGAAGTGCGTTTCAACACTAAGATTACAGGAGTATAATATGGATACTAGTAATAAATACTATATAGTGTTTTAAGGCTAAAAAAATGACTTTCATATGCATTGTCCAAGAATTCTATGCACTTGTCATTATCCCTATTTTACAAATGAAGAAACTGAGGATCACAGTGGTAAGGTGATCTGTCTAAGGTCACAGAGCTAGCTATTAAATGTCATGGGTGGGACTCAAGCTCAGGTCTTCCTGCACAAGATTCTTGTAGTCAGAGTATTATTAGTATGTGGGCCGCAGGGCCACTGAGAACAAAATGATCTATGTACTTTAAACACTTCCAGCTATCTGGATGGATTCAGGAAGACAAAAATAAACCTTGAAAAGTGGGCCTCTAGGACCTGAGTAAAAAGGATTCTAGTTCATTAGAACCAAGACTACAACTTAGGGCTCCTTCCTTACTTTTAGAATGGGAGCTCTTCTGATGACCTCTAGGTACAGAATGAAGCATACTTGTTCCTTTATTTTTCTTGTGGTTTTTGTAGGTGTGTTTTCTTTTATAATATGGAAAAAATGTCTTGCATGACTTCACATTTAATTGACATTGTATTGCTTGCCTTCTCAAGAAATATGGGAAGGAGGGAGAGAATTTGGAACTTAAAATTTTTTTTAATGAATGTTTAAAATGTTTTTAAATATAATTGGGAAAATTTTAATGAAATCATATATATATATATATATATTTTTTTTTTGGCTAGGCAATGGGGTTAAGTGACTCGCCCAGGGTCACACAGCTAGTGTTATATGTCTGAGGCCAGGTTTGAACTCAGGTCCTCCTGACTCCAGGGCCGGTGCTCTATCCACTGCGCCACCTAGCTGCCCCTAAAAATACTTTTTAAAAGGAATGAGAGAGTTCTTAATCTGGAGTCAGTGAACATAAAAAAAATTTTGATATCTATATTTCAATATGATTGGCTTCTTTTGCAATCCCGTGTGTTTTATTCTATGCATTTGAAAATGTGATTCTAAGAAAGAATCCCCAGGTTTTGCTAGACTTCCAAATAAGAGAGGTTAAGATCTCTTCCTTTAAAGACAGTTCTTTTGGCTCAGTTTCCCTTTGGTGTCAACTAGCTGGTCTACTTAGGATGCCATAACAGGATTATGTAGTAGAATTTAAGTTGGACAAAGGAAAAGAACTTTCTGGCTTCAAAGGAGCAATTCTGTGTCGTTGAAAGAGATTAACAAAGGTTATTGTGCCATCTTTTTTATTAGATACCTTTGGAATCTGGGTAGATATCTACTAGTCCAAGCCAAGAATTGGTATGGCCCTGTCTGAAGGCAGAGGAATAGGTGCAATGGCCTATGGCAAACACTGTTAACCTGAGGACTCTATGTTTTTTGGGAACACGCAAAGAATTGTTGATAGGCTAGCATAATTCAAAGCCACAAGGGTCCTTAGGGTAAATGTAGTCCAAACTTCCCATGTATTACAGACGAGGAAAAATACGCCCAGAGCAATTAGGTTTGCCCACAAGTAGGAAGCAGCAGAGCCAGGGCTTATACACATTCCCTTTGATTATATTATACAACTAATGATATTTTGTACAACATAACACCCTCTAGAAGAAGTAGAATGTCACAGTGGATAGAGGGCTGAGCTAGGAAGTAAGAAGACCCAAACTGGGTTCAGATTCCATCTCTGATATTTACTAAGTTATGTGATCATCAGGCAGCTTTTTATGTACAAACCACAACTACTTATCTACAAAATCATATTCAGTTTGTCAGTTTCATGGAGGGAAGTTCTCTCTTTGGCAGCTCTACAAACTGACGAAATCTTGAATCTTTCTCATATTTTCCACTGAATATTTTACACATGAGAAGGATCAGTTCAAAGAATTGGATGTGTTTAGACTGGAAGAGAGATGACTTTGGGGAAATATGACAACCATCTGTAAGTATTTGAAGTATCTTCTACATGTGATGAAGTACCATCACAAGATGAAATAGACTTGTTCTGCTCAAATATATTCCTCAAGGGAGAAATGTGTGTGTATGTATGTATGTATACATGTATGTATGTATATTGTGTATATATGTGTATGTATATAGATTTGACGTAAGGAAAAGCATCCTACCTATTTTTTGTTGTTGAATTGTTTCAGTTGTGTCTGACTCTCTGTGACCCCATTTGGGGTTTTCTTGGCAAAGAGTGGTTTGCCATTTCCTTCTCCAGTTCATTTTATAGATGAGGAACTGAAGTAAACAAGGTCAAGTGACTTCTCCAGGGTCACACAGCTAGTAAGTGTCTGAGGCCAGATTTGAACTTAGGTCCTCCTGACTCCAGGGCTGGTGCTTTATCCACTGAGCCACCTAGTTGCCCTATTCCTAACTACTAAATCTGTCCAAAAGTATAATTGGCTGTGATCTTCAAGCAAAGATTGGAATACCACTTGCTTGTGATGTTGTAGAAAGAACATTTTTTCAAATAGGGTTAAACTATATAATTCCTGAAGTCTCTTCCAACTCTGAGATTTTGTAATTGCTAACGTTCTCTGATGTTCAGACTGATGGAATGGAAGGGGTTCTTGCCTGGGAATCAAGAAACCTGGTTTCTCTTCTCAGATCTACCACTAATGTGTGTTATCTTGGGAAAGTCATTTTCCCTCTTCTGGTCTTGGTATCTTCAGCTGCTATGAAGGAACTGGACTAGCTCTCTAAGTTCTCTACTAGCTTGATCACTCTTGATTCCTTAGTTGGAAATTGACATTCTCCTAGGAAGCAAATCACCTGTGGTAACCAGAGTTCTACTCCATTCCTCGAGGTACTTTGACAGAAATGACAATTACATTCTGAAGAGAAATAATGGATTTTCTAAAGGGAAAACAGTCAGCTAACAGACATTCTGAAGAGAACTGGATATTGTTAATGAATATTCTGAGAAGGAAGAATCTGTTGACAGATGCTCTAAGGAGAGAGCTGTTGGCAGTTGGCAATTATGGCCATCTTAAATGAAGGAAACTTGCCGTAAGTTTTGGGAATAACACAAGCAAGGAGGTGGAGAGAAACAAGCAGATGAGACATGATGGTCAAATATGCAAATCAAGAGCAAGAGAAGAGAGGGCTGCTGGCATGCAGGACCATCGAGTCCCTGCTGATCTCCTCTCTGGTTTCTGCCAAGAGCTCTTGGGATATAAGCCCAAAAAGCTTTTTTCCTGTAGCTGGCTAGCCAGTCTCCATGAGTCCCTGCCTTGACCACTGCTACTGTTGTTGCACTATTCTTTAAACAAGATCATCCAAAGGTCGTGCCTGGGAGAAGCCAACCTATTAGGCTCAGTTCTCCCTGACAATGGACCGCATACTGTCTTCATGACTTCCCAAACCATAACTCCCTTTCTGGTTACTACTTCTCTATGTGTTGTTTCCCCACCAGAATTAAGCTCCTTGAGGTCAAGGACTGCCTTTCTTTTGTATTAACATCCCTAGCACTTAATACTATGCTTGGCACACAGTAAGTGTGCTTTTCATTTATTCATCCATCATCTGTCCTACAAAGTGGGTATACCTACTCTGTTCTTTCTACTTCTTGCTCAGTGTGACTGATAATCAGAAAGATATTACCTTTTCCACTGGCGAAAGGCATGATAATCAAATATCTAACGGCTCCGTTCAAAATACCTGTGATTTTGAGTTTTAGTCAGCTGACTAGGCCAAAGCTCTCTTTCCTGGCCACCAGTCACCATTCCCTCAAACACATTCATGTCAGCCCTATCCATTCCTCTCCCACTTTACCCTCTCCTTCCATCGTGCCCTCTGGAAGTTGCCTTCTTTTGTTAATAAACAACCCTTCATCTTGGGCATGTGATCGTCCCTAGAAAATTACAGTGTGTTTTGTGTGTGTGTGTGTGTGTGTGTGTGTGTGTAATAAATACTGTTTGTATTTCATTGTCTATGTACATGTTGCTTCTACCCAATAAAAGCTAAACTCTTGAGGGCGGGAACCATTTCATTTCTGTTTTTGCGCCTTCGGCACTCAGCACAGCACCAGGTACATAATAGTTTCTTAATAAATGCTGGTTGAACTGAATTGTAGAGTAGCTTCCCCTCCACCTCTGGTTTTCTTACCCTAATTATTTCCCAAGGTTCTACTACTGGATTTCCTGGTCTGGGAGAAAAGAGATTGGTAGCATACGTTTAAAAGAAGATGAATTCCCCTCCTTTTCACCTGCCTACTGGAACTCACCCCTCCTCTTTCCCACCCACCCAAGCCCAGCCCACTTCCTCAAACCTCCCTACCCACCTCCAAACCACGGTTTACTAGAGGACTTACCAGCCTTTCTGATTTCACTGTAAACAGTCTCAGTTCCTTTCCTTTCAGGAGCTGGAAAAGGTATGGGCACAGATTCAGTGTCTTTCCTTTAGACTGACAAAGTTAAAGATACTCTATCAAATCTTGGGTGTCTTTGTAGATATGGTTGTCTGGGATATCACACATACTTCCCATTCCCTATCAGCACATCCTGATGGAGGAAGAGGCTCCACTATCAGGGTTATACCGTTTATTTCACTGAAAGGCTACCCACTAGACTACCCCAGATTCTCTTTACTGAGGAAAGAAGAAACTCTTCTTGCTTAGCCAACTTTTCTGTAATTAGAAACATTCACAATTCAGGGATACTCAATAAACTGCATATTTATGTGAGATCCTAAACCCTAAGGAGATATGGATTTGAAAGATATCAGCAAACTTTTATTAAGCACCTACTATGTGCCAGGCACTGCACAAAGCACAGGGAATACAAAGACAAAAATGAAACATTCCCAGCCCCTAAGGAACTTACGTTTTTATGGGGGGATATAACTTGTCCAAACATAAGTAAATACAAAATACATACAAAGTAATTATGTTAACTTAGTTGTAAAGTGCACAAGGCCTGATACATAGTAAATGCTTTAAAAATGTTATTACCATCATCATCATCATTATTATTAGGCAGAGGGGTAGGACAGCTGATTGGGGGGAAAAGAGGGAAGAGAATCAAAAGAAGTTTGAGACCAGAAATAAGGCAACAGGCAACTGGGCACTCCCAAATGCCTGCCTGAAATGCCAGGACTTGTGTTTGGTCCCCATCTGTCACTAAGCCTCCTCCTCCACCCCTAACATCTGTTACTTGGAATTATCATTTAAGGCTTTCAGCTTTATGACTGTGAAATATCATGGGGATGACTTGGACTTTCAGAGTGGTAGATTGATAACAGAAAAAAATCAAACCCAACACCCTGAACCCAACCACATCATACTCCTTTCCTGCCTCCTACTGCTCCCTCTCCCACCACTGCCATGCAAAATGACCTAGCAAATACTCCCTTCTTCCTAAAAAATTGCCCAAACTATCTTACAGGGAAGAGGAAATAGGATGTTTCTTTTTGCTCTTCTCCAGTGTTTTCCTACCAGTTCTGGCTCTTGTGAATGAATGCTGTTACTTATCCTTGACATCCCTTCTGGGGGGAGGGACACCACACTCAGGGACTCAGTGGTCCATCATCCCTTCTTCCAAATGGTGCTCTTGGTAAGTGGTTCCAGGTTCAAAGGCTATTACTTGGGTTCCCACTTCCTATCACCAGAGTCAAAAAAGGGAAAATTCTCCCACAGGCAATTTTGCTAACCTCGTGGACCTCTAAGCATCTGTCTGCCTGGCCTATGGGTTAATTTGGCTCTGCCTGAATGATAAGAAAGATCCTGAGATTAACCTTATCTCTTATCTCTTTACATTATCTATATAGATATCTCCAGACACTGAAGAAACCTAGGTTTCTTGGAAAAAGACTGTTTTCTTTAGAGAAGCAGATGGCTTAAGATGCTGGATATTTCCCAGGATTCCATTTCTTTTCCTTCAAACTACCAAAGAATCATCCCTGTTCTTCCTGTACAAGGAAAAGAGCCTATCGCTACTGTAATAGCCGGTGAGCTATTTGCAGAGCCCTCACTCAAAGGAGGGGACCTCCATAATTATCTAAGCCCCAGAACCCATTAACTTACAGACAACCTAGAGATAATCTCTTCCCACACTCCCCCTTCTCCAAATCCACTCTCCTATATAAACACTGGCAAAATAGAGACATTAATTTATAGGAACTGCAACAAAGCAGGGCTTAGCAGAAGGGTGCAAAATTTAGAGGGCAATTGACCACAACATGGTGGAAAGAGTGCTTGACTTGGAGTGAGGAAGATACAGGTTCAAATCCTGCCTCTGACACTTATTAGCTAGGTCAGCATGGGCAAGCCACTTAAACTCTCTGAATCTCCATTTCCTAATCTGTAAAAAATGTTGGGGTCAAGGCAACTGGCATTTATCAGTTGCTTGATATGTGCCAAGCACTGTGCTAAGTGCTGGAGATACAAAGAATGGCAAAAAGATAGTCTTTGCCCTTATGGAACTTACATTCTAATGAGTGAGAAAATATGGAAACAGGTAGGTAAATGCTTAGTATATGGGAAACACCCTGAGAGGGGAAGGCTGGAGGGACCGGAAAAGGCCTTTTGGAATAAGTGGGATTTGAACTGAGTCTTGAAGGAAATCAAAGAAACTAAGAGGCAGAAGTAAAGGGAGGGGGGCAGTGGTCTAAAAGCCTTCTAAGATTACTTTCAGATCTAAATCTATGATCCTGATGTAATGGGAGGACTGGCCAATGAGGGAACAGTTCTTAGAGCATGCTCAGACATACCCTTTATGTGCAGATATTCCTCACCTAATTCTAATCCAACAGTTCTGGCCATGAATGACCAAGGGACTGGTATTGTGTGGTGATAAAGAATCTTTTGATCGGCTTATGAGCTAGAAGGACTGATGGCTCATGAAATGTGGAATAGGCCCTTTTTGCTATTTTTCTTTCTCATATCATTTAATTTGCATAATCTGTTCCATTTCAGTAGCCAATAAGCCATGGGTCCTTCTAGCACCTCAGCTAACCAGAAGGCTCTTCATTACTGCACAGTACCAGCCTCTCAGTCACTCATGTCTCCACTGGTTGCATTGGAACTAGGCAAAGAATATACTTGCTCTATATAAACTACCAGGAAGGGCAAATCTGAGCGTGCTCTAAGGCCTGGGCCCTTATTGGCCAGTCCTCCCGTCATACTGCCCTACTGTGATCCTTCAGCAACTTAAAAAAAAAATAGAAATTAACATCTAGTTAGAAGAATAATCAAAATAGGAAGCTACAGGAATAGAAAAATAGAAAGCTTATTCCTCCCTACTCCCATCCCTCACCCCAGGTAAGCAATACCACTCAGCTGGGCAATACCTTTCATTCCCTCCTCCCCTCTGTTGTACCAGCTGTTCTTCCAGGCTGCATTTGGTGCTGCCTGCCTAAGGGGTAAAAATTGCTAGTTATGGCTCTAGAACTTCCTATTTCATAAAGAAGCTTCTTTGAAGATGGATAATATATAGGCACTCCGAGTTTTACGATTTTCAAAAATCACTTTGTAAACCTCAAAATGCTTATATAAACGTAAGTTGTGATGTCTTTAATTAGTCTGAATAATCAGAAATTAGATAACATAGCTAATATGTCTAAGAGAATCTTGAATACACGTTTTAGAGCTGATTTAGAACCACAGAATGTCAGAACTGGAAGGGTCCTTGGAAGTCGTCTTGTTCCACCCCATTTTAAAACTGAAGAAGTCCAAGGTCCAGAGAGATCCATGTCTTGATCTGTGGGGGACTTTGGGGAGTCAAGGGCTGTGTTAAGAGTCTGGAAATCATGGCAACTACACAACAAGCCAGGCCCTCAGGGAGAATAAGTCACCAGCCAAAATAATAGTTGAGGGGCAGCTAGGTGGATAGAGTACCAGCCCTGGAGTCAGGAGGACCTGAGTTCAAATCCAGCCTTAGATACTTGATATTTACTAGCTGCGTGACCCTGGGCAAGTCACTTAACCCCATTGCCTAGCCAAAAACAAACAAACAAAATACTAGTTGGGACACAGAAGGACATGTAAGACTGAAACATAACAAATGATATTTGTGTGTGTGCATATATATATATGTGTGTGTATGTGTATATATATATAGCTATAAAGTTTGCAAAGGGATCTACATATTTTTTGTCATTTGAGCTTCACAAAAACCCTGTAAGGCAGGTACTACAGGTATTAATATCTCTATTAATATGCCTATTTACAAATGAAGAAACTGAGTCTCAGAGAGATTAAGTGAATATCCCATCATCCTACAGCTAGTAAGTGTCAGAATCAGGGTTTGAGTCCAGTCTGCCTGGTTGAAAGTCCAGTTCTATACCTACTATAGCACCCTCATCATAAACTCGAGATAAATAACAACAATATACAGCAAAAGGTGCTTTAAGGATTAAAAAAAGTGCTTGTTCCATTTTACAAATGAGGAAAATGAGTCTCAGAGAGGGGGAATGATTTGCCCATGGCCATCCAGCTAATGAGTATCAGAGCTGGGATTCTAGCTCAAGTCTCCTGAATCCACATAGAATCCTTTCTATGATAACACCCAGGTGAGCACATCTACATAATTAAAACTAGCATCCCTCAGCAGAAAACTGGGAAAGAATTTTTACAATCAGTGTCTCTGATAAGGGCCTTATTTCTAAAATATATAGGGAATTAAGTCAAATTTATAAGAATACAAGTCATTCCCCAATTGACAAATGGTCAAAAGATATGAATAGGCAGTTTTCAGATGAAGAAATTAAAGCTATCTATAACCATATTAAAAAAATGCTCTAAATCACTACTAGTGATTAGAGAAATGCAAATCAAAACAACCCTGAGGTACCATAATCACACCTATCAGATTGGCTAACATGACAAAACAGGAAAATGATAAATATTGGAGAAGATGTGGGAAAATTAGAACACTAATGCATTGTTGCTGGAGTTGTGAAATGATCCAACCATTTTGGAGAGCAATTTGGAACTATGCCCAAAGGGCTATAAAAATGTGCATACCCTTTGATCCAGCAATAGAACTTTCTGTATCTGAAAGAGATCATAAAAATGGGAAAAGGACCCACATGCACAAAAATATTTATAGTAGCTCTTTCTGGGGCGGCAAAGAATTGAAAATTGAGAGGATGCCCATCAATTGGGGAATGGCTGAACAAGTTGTGGTATATGAATGTAATGGAATACTATTGTGTTATAAGAAATGATGAACAGACAGACCAGAAAAATCTGGAAAGACTTATATGGACTGATGCTGAGTGAAGTAAGCAGAACCAGGAGAATGTTGTATACAGTAATAGCCATGTTGTGCAATGACTAACTTCGATAGACTTAACTCTTCTCAGCAATGCAAGGATCTAAGACAGCTCCAAAGGTCTCATGATGGAAAATGCTATCCACATCCC